CGTTGAATTAAACTTTAGGAGTAATGTAGTGGATTTTAAATGGTCGATCGAAATGACTCGGAAACGAAGTTATACATTACTACCTTTTGTATTAACAAATTGGTATTGGTTACCGCATGAATGATTATGTTGCCATATGTGTATAATTAATCAATTCTAAACTCGATCCGAATGTTATAAACATTTAATCTGAATAAGACTCGAATGACTCTTACAAGAACGCAGTAGACTGAAAAGAAAATAAATTCAAAGTTCAATGATTAATTGGTAAAACAAATAACCTAAGAATCTTTAAATCTTTATTATACTCATTAAAAGTTTTTAATGTCGGAAGCACTTGGACAAGAAATTACGAAATTACCACCGAGATGTAAAAATGGCATGGCTTTGACATTAGAATTCGTTTTCGACCCGATAAATTTAATGATTCACCTGTAAATTTGTTGATATGTTCAGAAAGTTACTAATAATTAATTCCAAACATCCTAGACACAAGACCTAGAACTATTGATTTATCATTAAAAAAAACCTAAAGACTAAAACATAGGAAGTATTATTTATGTTTGAATTGTTCAAAAAATTGAATTAAATGGAAAGACTGGACGAAAGGAAATGATTTGAATACCCTTGAACTGTAAAATGACCAAAATACCCCTGAAGTGTAAAATGATCCAAAATACCACCAAGCCCTACAATGACTGAATATCCTCAAGTTATGAAATGAATAAATCTATCTCAAATACCAAAATGACCTAAATACCCTCATTACTTGGATTAAGCAAATGCCTTTGGATTACTTTTGAAGATACCGATGAAGCTTTAAATGTTGTAATGCTTTTAAGGTTTATAGAATGCGACCTAAGTAGGTCGATCATCCCTAATATTATTACAATACGAGAAGTAATTAAATACTGCTTAAATAGATGTTTGTCTCTTCATGATCTTTCCAATGATGGTTCTAAAAGTGATCAATTCGACTCTATAACGCCGTCAAAATTAAGAAATGAATATTCGTGAAGTTTCTCTACCATTATACTTTATAAGTATTGCCTTTGTTGGGATCTGTACAGTTCGATTGGACTTGGAAGCCTGATAAAACGCTTGAACTCTGAAATATTGTAAATTACTATTTACTCTTATTAAACTGATTTACCAAATTTCTCAGGAATCAAATGACTAAAATGTCCTTATAAGCCTGATTGATGGAATCACTTTAGGAATGTATGAAACCTAAATAATTATGATGCAACAACTCTTGAATACCCTTATGATAAATTTGAATACTGAATGATCTTGATAAATCACTTTCTGAATGACTGATGAATCTGTTAACTATTAAACCCCCTTTTATAGGGATCTCATTTATGAAATTCAATCAGTTTATAGAAATTTTGTGGCTTCTTACCTAATAAATACCAAGTATCTCAAAAAATAAATGGATCCTCTAGTGTGTTCCCTGTGTGCTATATGATTGTTTTATCTATTCTGAAATATGATTTGTTATCTGATTGGTTTACGAGTATTTTAACTGTTCGATATTCTGATTTATTGATTTGCCATTTATGGACTATGGTTGCATGATATATGCTCTCTGGTTACCCGTTTTCACTAGGAAATATGATTATGTCTGACTTATGGATCATGAAATTTACTGTTTACTATATGAATTGTTTTATTGAGATACTATTTGGGTAGGATTCTGGAGTATGGAGGTTCAGCTCTGATTAAGCTGGTAATTCCTTATGGACCTAAGGTGACCCTTGGGTAGGCTCTTAGGCCCCAAGAAACTCTCTCTATGGTAGGCTCTCAGGCCTCAAGAAACTCTCTCTTTGGTAGGCTCTCAAGCCCCAAGATGTTTCCTTAAGTTGGCTCCTACGCCCAATGGGCCTAGGGTAAGTCTTTATGGATGCAGATCTAGGGGATTGCATATTGGTGTTCAGTTGGAGTGTATTACTGTGGTTTTAAAACATGTCCTTAAACTACTACTGTTTTTAAAAGATGTATACACTTTTCTCTAATTTTGTTGTAACACACTAGACTCCTCAACTAAATCTCCTGAATCATCTCTCTGAATATTTCCTTAAAATTGTAATTTCCTTACTGTTATCAGAATAAATAATTAATGAAATCTGACCTCCTCGCTATAACTTGATGATGTTTGCATCGTTAAGAAAATTTGTGCTTTACCTTATATCTGATGGCTTATTGCATTCATCTGGTAGTTTTTATATTATTGAGCTTCCCAAAGCTTACTATGATATTCACCCTTTTCAGGTTAAAGGATTTGATCCGATACTTTTACCGACATCAATATGGAATTTCACTGCATTGCTTGCGGAGTACGACGCATGTAATTGAGGAATATATAGGTCATATAATGTTTTATACTAGAATCTGAAATTTGTTTTTATAAAGTGCACTTTGAATTCTATTTTGATTATAAATTAATTCTGAACTTATATTTTTATTTGTAAATTGTTTAAGGATTTTTAAATGGTTTATCAAAAAATTTAATTTCTCTGAGTTTTTAGTGTGTATCGTTCTGGTGGTCTTAATGTGACACATTAGATCGGATTAAATCACTCGTATTGTATGAGAAGATTTCAAAAGGAACCAAAACATATAATAAAATGAAAACAAATGTTAATAGTTTTATATATTATTACTTACAATAAATTAGATAAATAGTCACCGACATGCTTCTTTTTTATTTTAGTTACTCAATTCTTTTTCTAATAAAAGCATCACTAATATTATATTTTATGAATTGAATATATATTTTTTATTCGATCCTTTATATTATTTTCTCCTTCTCTTTATTAACAGTTTATGTATTTATTTTTAATAATTATATTTAAACCAATAAAGTGATGACATATTATCCAATTAAAGTGGAAATTGAATTTTAACTTTCAAGAACCTTGAATCGACCCGTTTTCATTTTCAGTAGGGGTGTAAACTAGGCGAGTCGAGCTCGAGTATTGCTGAGCTCGACTCGACTCGAAAACTCTGAAATGGAGTTTGACTCGACTCGTAAACTCGCAAGCTTAAAATTTTCAAGCTCGACTCGAACTCGAAATCCTGAACTGAAGCTCGTGAGGAGCTCGAAAAGGCTCGAAATGAAAAAAAAAATCTTAAACTTAACTCAATTAAAGCCTCAAACTCAAACTCGAACATGAACCTTAAATATATGAAATCTTACTGTATTTTTTTAAAAAAAATCAATACATAAATATAAAGATTATTATTAATTTGTTTTTTAAATAAAATCTTAATATATTATATTTTCGAGCTGCTCACGAGCTTTTCGAGTCGAATATCGAGTAGCTCGTTTCAGCTCGTTAAGAACTCGACTCGAGTCCATTCGATCCGAGTATTTATCGAGCCTTGATCGAGTCGATCTCGAATAACTCGCGATCTATCTCGTCTCATTTACAACCCTAATTTTCAGTGTGCTTGAACTCAAAACCCCTTGAATAAGGGATTTAAAGCCAATGAATTTGTAAAATTTTATCAAGACTAATATTTAAGTTAATTAAATCAATTTAACCTAAGTATCAGTTTGTTTGGAATTATAACAATTATATAATTTAATTCACTAGTTAAATATTGGACCCCTTTTATGGGGATCCCAATTGGATTCTATGATTAAGCAATGGGTAAATGGTAAGATCATATTTTAATAGTAGAAAGCAGCTTCAGGACCTAAATTAAATTATACTTTAAATTTCTTATAGTTAATTCTTTAATTTAATTATAATTAAATTTTAAATAATTTTATAATAAATAACCAAATTACAAAAGAAACCAATGAGGAACAACTTTAATAACATGGAATGATACCAATTTCTGATCCACATATTAGTAGTTAGGCCTATGTATTTTCAATTTAAATTTGGCCCACTTGGTAACACTATCTTTACTCTTCCTTGTTCTTCGGGTTCAAGAATCTCATTATATTTCACTTTTATAGTGTAGTTTTCTAATTTATTTTATTTTACTTATTGAATTCAGATTTAAAAGTTATTTAAAAAAATAATATTTCGCTTCATTATATTAATCCAATATAGATATTATCATAGTTGCATTTAACATTAATAAGTGAAGAGCAAAGAGCAAAGATAACTTCTTCGTTGCGTGGAAAGAGCAAAGATAACTTCTTCGTTGCGAAGAAAAGCACAAAACTCCAATGTCTCTTTCATGGAAGACTAAAAAAAAGGCACACTTGTTTTATTCTTTTTCTTAAAATCTATAACAAAAGCAATAGCTTTTATGTAAATTTATTTAAACATTACATTTTTAAGATAATTTTATTTAAATTTTTTTAATATAATGGCTATATAAATTCTAATTCTATAAACAAAATTAACACCGTCGTGTATTGGTTTTATAAACTTTTATTATTTTAAATATATATTATGATGTTTAAACCCTACTTATAAGATATGATGTAATTCTGACTACCGGAGGTCTTCCATGGAAGTTGTTCTCAACCTGACGTTAGAGCAACCTACTACCTTACCTCCCCTCATCCCATTATATATGGGAATAGGTTCCGCTAATTTTTTTTAGATGCAAGTTTTGACCGATTGAAAGCCCCTTATAGAGTAAAGAAAATGGGGGGATTAATTAAAATAAAAATAGCAAATTAAAGAAACTTACACATTAAGAAACTTTCTACACTCTCGTATACATAAAAATATGACTTATTTATATTAATTATACCGTACTTAAAATGATAAATTCATTTAAAAAACATTAGGGGACCATGCTATCAAATTTAGAAGGACCAACACGTTAAAAACCTTCCATGTAAAAAAAACACACGTGAATTATAGTTTTGCTCGAATATTTAATTGATATAAATTTAATTATGGGTTAATTTGATTTCATAAACTTCAACTATCATAAAATATAAAGAGGGACCATTGATGTGCTTTCCTTCATCTTGTTGGCCCTATAAATACTTTCAACTTTCAATGGCCATTGCTTTACACTGCTACCTCTCATCTTGCAGCAGAAGAAAGGGAAGATTCAGGGGGTACTAATTTACTTAACAAGGATATGAACAATCTGTCGGTGAATGGACTGAAAAAATTGCCGCTGGGGTTCCGGTTCCAGCCGACGGACGAAGAGCTGGTTTTTCAGTACTTGAAATGCAAGGTCTTCTCCTATCCTTTGCCTGCTTCTATCATCCCTGACCTCAGTGTCTGCAACTTTGATCCCTGGGATCTGCCTGGTAATTAAGCTCTTTGTTATTTGAGGTCGCAAGTTTAATTATTGTGCTTCATTTGCTATGAATATCGATGGATACCGTCAAGTATAGTGACAGTCGAAACTTTTCTATCTTTGCATTCATTATCCATGTAGGACGAGATAATAAATGATTTTCTTCTGTAGGTGTAGGTGAGATGGAGGAGGAGAGGTATTTTTTCAGCACGAAGGAAGCAAAGTATAGAACCGGGAACCGGATAAACCGAGCGACTACTTCTGGATATTGGAAGGCAACCGGTTCCGATAAGCAAATTATATCAAGGAGAAACCAAGTAGCAGGGATGAGAAAAACCCTAGTTTTTCACATGGGGAAGCCTCCACATGGATCAAGAACTGATTGGATCATGCATGAATATCGCCTAGTTACTCTATCAAACAATGATTTCGACTCTCTGCATGCAAACAACCCAATAATCCAGAATTATTTAAATCATGAGATGGAAAAGTGGGCTCTATGCCACGTATTTTTTAAGAAATCACGTAAGAAGAGCAGTGATGAGGAGGAGATTATGCAGAGTTTATGTGACAGTAGTAACGAAAAAGTGAAAAAACCCAAGGCTTTGATTCATAAGATAAAGCCAAAATTGTTTGATTTCATGAGAGAAAACGATGGCATGACAGCTGAGTCATCTTCTTCTTCTTCTTCAGGTTGCAGCAGTGATATTACTGAAGTTTCTTCAAGCGCATGCAGCATGCAGTATTGAAGACAGCAGTCACTGCAACAACATTGTACGGTGTCTTTTGTAATGTTTATCTGTTTAATAAATATTATTGCCTTGTAATCAAGTACTATAGAGTTTTGGAAACTATATATAATATCATTTTTTATAAAGAAGAGAGGAAGGAAATGCAAATCACCGTGAACTAAAAGCGAGAATACCCGCACATGGATTCACTTCAATTTCTTTTGTTTGATTCTATGAACTGGAACTCGCTCTATATGTTCTTCAAGGTGATAGGAAGAAAGAAAAGAAAAAAGATCAACGTCGAAACTAATAAGGCTTAGTTTACTGGTAATAAGGTTTAATTTTCGATTTCACTCTTAATTTATATTCCTTCTCACGTTTTTATTTTAATATTTAAATTATAATTTTATCTTACTTCGTCCTAAAAAAGAAAATGGATAAATGGATAACTAACATGTTTTTATTATATGCCATTTATTGTTAATCAAAATAAAATGAATATCACAGTTGAAGTGTTATATCGAGATAAAATTTTTGTATTAAAAAATATAATTTGGAGGCTATATGCAAAAAAAAAAAAGTAGCAACACTAAAAAAAATTATTTCATAAATTTCACAATATTATTTTTAATCACTAAGATTACTCAATAGATTGAAGCTTATATTATTTTGTGTCGTAATCATGATAATTTCTTATATTATTAATAGATAATTTCGCTAAATCAGTCTAATTTGTGGATCTGTATTTTTTCACATGACATTTTTTTAAGGAAAAGAGTTTAGCTTAAACAATTTAAGCGTATATGATCAAGGATAACACATGGTATTTCATTTATCTTTCTTTTTGTATTAATTTTTTTTTATAAAATTTACTTAAAATTAATAAAACTTTATTTAAAAATTTGATATATTAATAGTTCGATCTTTTTTTATGATCATACAATGAAACTAGTTTTGAAGTATATTAATCATCTTCTCGAAATAATATTTGTCATTCAAATTTTCAATTAAACTTTTGAATCTAAAAAAAACTCAACTCGAACATAAATACGTTTAATAATCTACAAACCGATAATAGAAGGTAAATATATATAGTAATCCAAACCAGTTCTAACAGATGCATCAAAATATAAAAGTTAGTACAGCCGCATACGCTTCATAAGCTATGTTTTAATACACAATTAAACACCTTGCGAAATATTAAGTATAATAGCTCATACCAAATGAATCGTTGCCAGGCTAGCATGTTACCTTATCCAGAATAGAACATGTTCGAAATCCGTTTTCCTTTAAAGCACTTAATTTTTTTCTCGAAAAATAAAATTTTATATAAATATCATAAATCGATATGAAAGTATAATGTCTCGTTAAAGACATCCTTAATTTTAAACAAAGGAAAAAAATACATTCTACCCGACAATACAAAAGAAAAAAAACCTAATACGAAGAGATTTACGACGTCTAATGCATATTCAACAAGGGTTTGGTTCTTTTATTTTAGTACCCGTGACTCAGAGACATCGAAGGTCTGGGTCTTAGTGTCCAACCAGGCCCGATCATGACATTTTAAGGATCTTAGGCCAGGAAGTGATGATAAGAAGATAAGTGGGGCTCACACCTAGTTCACCTCCCAATCATCAAAATGTGGCCTATTGGATTACCATATTTTCGAGTGTTTGAAATAAAAATATGATGTTTAAAAATATTTTTTAATTATTAAATTTAAAAATATTTTCAAGAATGGCCCCTTATATTGTTTCTGCGAACACCGAACATTACACGCGAAATGTAAGACAAAAGTAATCAATATCACAATTTACTATAAATATCACAGTTTATTATAAAAATCAAGAACATTTACCATGTTTCCGAGTGTTTTAAATAAAAAAATGATGTTTAAAAATATTTTTTAAATTATTAAACTTAAAAATATTTTCAAAAATTGACCCTCCAAACCGGGATCCTAGGCGATCGCTCCCCTCGCCTATGCTCAGGGCCGGCCCTGTGTCCAACTAAGATCTGAGATTTTCCGTGGCGCGAGTTTTGGACGATTTACCACTCACAGCGACAACTGAGGGGTCTAAAGAATGGTGGTGGGATGTGTTTTTTAATTGTTTGTGGACAGGGACAGCGGCGGATGCGGGGTTTATGGATTGGTGGTGGGACGTGTGTTTCCATTGCTTGGTGATGGAAGTAGCGACGAAAGAGGATTGTCTCCGGGTATGAGAATCGTGCTCGCTGATGTCGCCTAATCGAACGTTGGGTCGTCTCTGGCGTTTCGCTCCCACAGTATTGTATGAATCCACTGGTACAAACACATCGCCAGCATTTATTTGGCCGTCCGATAGCTGTATACCAACCATGTTTAATTACTCAAGTTTTCGTTTTCTTTATTTTTGTGGGTGTACCATTATCAATTAAATAAGAGTAAAGATAATTAAAATGAATGATCTAGTAATCAAAATCCAGATTTTTCCTTTAAAAAGACGTTTTAGCCACGACCCAGATCCATTTGATGGAAAATATTTGTATAAGCTAGTCAGATCCATTTCTCCATCCTAATGGACTTTTGTTTATAAAGCCCATTAAGTCTTAAAGGACCACTTATAAGATTTCCCCCTAATGGAGACTAATTATCGGTCATAGTAGGGAGTGCAAAACAAATGTCGTTTTCACTGTTTCATGTGCTAACAAATATAGTGTAGTCTCCTTCATCATGGAGGTATGGGCACCGGACAAAGGACATGGTAAAACCGTAGGAACCAACTTCTATATGCTTTCATTTCTCAACCTTAAATCTCTTTCGCAATTAATATCATATACATATATATGTTGTGGATAATGCAAATAGCAGTTGAGTAGTAGGTAATCGAACAATTTTGTTTCTTGCTACTATAAAAACGAAGTCTTTTATTTTTATTTCACATATTGAAGTGTATGTTTTCTCTCCTTTTCTCTTCTTTCATTATTTTTATTTTTTTGAAAAAAATTATGTTGATTGAGCTTCATTTTTTTATGTTTGTGTATGAATGTAAAAATATTATATTGATCTTAAAAAACGACGTTTATTTTGCGATTACATCGGTAATTAAGTTTGCATTAACTTATTTCCTTGAATAATGTGTCGACGGAAAAAATACTTTCATATAGTATATGCATGTTTTACGTGTAAATTGCATGGCTTAGGAATAATGGAGTGTTTATTTTCATGGTATTAGACCACCTATGTCACGTGCTTGCATGTGTAGTCCGTGGGAGGGATGGGCATGTAAATTTTTTTTTATTTTTTTATTAAGGATGGGCATGTATAAAAAGGGCCAAAGGGGCTTGGATGCTCAGTGTTACGTCGTCTTCGCAATTCAATCAGATTCAAGCAGCAGTTAATTTGTTTTACGGTGCCACTGACTACTGCTGTACAATTTACATTGAATGTTGCAAGCAAAAACACCATTGTCCTACATGTTGGGTCAATGAACCTTGTCAATAGTTTCCCATTTGGATTTCATTGCTCAACTTGCCCCCATCTTCTCAATGTCTGTTTCAGTGTAAAAGTCTCATGTGAAAGCAGCACAATCAAAGCTATAACCCATGATGAGGTCTACTCGGAACATTTACCCTTTAATATCTATTTCACCTCTGTTTACTTTTGGTGGACCAGCTCCAACGTACCGTCCAGAGCAGGCTTGAGCCAATTGCAATTCTAAGTTAGCTCTGCTGCTTTTGGCCCTAAACACCAAAGGACTAATCTCAAGTATTCGTGTTAGAATTGTACTGTATGAAGGGACCATTCTGTTGTTGTCCAGGACATTAGCTGAGAAATATTCATTTTACAAATATATTTCTCCTGGCCTGAATCAGACATCGCATGAGACTCCATGGCAGACATTTACTTAGGTTATGGTCCCAGCGTTATTGTTGTTGATGGGAAGAAATAATTTATTATGGTAGACGGTTCATCTCATATTGAGATATAAAGTCGCAATCGATGATGGAACGATTAAGGTCAATTTTTTTTCATGAAGAGGTAGAAAAGAAAATGAGGGTTTAGGGAGAGTCTAAATCCTTATGTTGTTCCTGGTCGAGAGACTTTACAATTAGTGTTGATGTCAAAACGTAGAATCATAATAGCTACTCGTATGTTGGCAGGCTAAAAAGATACGGTCAACTAGAGATAGATTTAATTCTGATATGTTACGCGAATATGTCAAATTTCATGTCAAGAGATTATAGCTTCCGAAGGAGTATTAAGCGTTGAAGATTTCTTCTTCGAAGATGTTCTCCCGTGATCTTGATTATGGATGGGTTCTCTAGAGACTTTACAGTGTGAAGATGACATATCTTGACTATGAAAAGGTTATCTTGAGATTTTGAGGTACGAAAATAATATACGAAAGACATTCAGGGAGGTATAAGATTGTCCAATGAATTTTAATTAGTTTAAATATGCATAAATTTATTTATTTTTTAATAGAAGTCGCTAGTCTTATTAAAAAGTACAAATATCCAAAATTAATCAAGGTTTAACTATCATCATAAACTAAATACATAATTTGGACATTTTCGTATAACAATGAAACTAGCCACTTTAGATCATACAAAAATCAAACATGGAAAATGTTAAAAACCCAACCAAAAATCTTGAACAAAAAAGTAGATACAAACAAATCTAATAGCATCGACAAATGAGCCAAAAAGGGGGATTAAGTTATTAAAAGAGTATCGAGAATAGCAAATCATAGCCAAACATCATGATAAACTATCTACGAGCGTAAAAGCGCATATCCAAATTTAATTTGATGGTCCATAATAGGGAAGATCAACATGATTACAAATAAATGTCATCTTGATCAGTCGTAACGTCGTCAAATTCAACTCTAAGAAAACATAAAATGAAAAGAACGACCAAACGACCGAGAAAAAAGACGAAAAACGTGCCACAAAGACAAAATTATTCTTATTAAAAACTAAAAGAAACAAAGTGAGAAGATAAACGACAATCGACAACTACTATGAAAATTAGTGCTATCGACGGCTAAACAAAATT